AAGTCATAGGAAACTGCCTGCCGAGTGCTGGGACAGATTTTTCCGATTTGATAACAGCGAGATATCATCAAAATCAAATTTCGGGAGATCGGTTATACCAACCTTAGAAACATAAATTAAATTCAAACAATAGTTAAAATATTTTGAAAATTTAATTTGAAAAACCGGGTTCTCATAAAGAAAAACTCAGTTTTTCTTAAATTGTTTGTTTGTTTTTCTTGACGCTTTTGAAATTTTTCACATTTGACACCCCAAAGTATACGAAATAGAATTTCTTTCAGAAAAGATACAGAAGTATAAAGTGATACATTTTTAATGCCCCGATGGCCGATATACGTCGTGATGTAAAAACACACATTATTGTAAATATCAATAGATTCATCTTTCCTCTAAGGATCTAAAACAATTGAGAAAAATGGGATTTTTACGCAAAACCAGTTATTGACATTATCCATATGTATATTTAGTGTAAGTGTGTAACTCTAAAACTAATAACCTCTTATAGATAGTGATTGAAAATTTCGTGAAATTTAAAAAAATGAAATGTTTCATGAAATATTTCAAATATGTGAAATATTTCAGTATTTTAATAAATTTTGTTTCATTTTTAAATACGTTTTATATTTATATATAATTGCCATAAATTATCTTCATAATTGTATGGTACCTATATGTATACCTAACCTTTGGTATTTTACATTTAAAATGATAGGTATTCAAAATTTTAAAATATTTTAATGTTTAAATGATACAAGTAGGTATACAATATTACCCATGTTTATTATATACGATATACCTATTGAATTTTTACATTAGAATTTAGTTAAAAAAATAAATAAATTGTGTTTTTATTTGTGTTAAAAAAAATTTCAACGTTTCACGTTTTTGTTGAAACTTCAAACACTACTTATAGATACCTTAAATTTTCATCAAATATTTATATGCCCCTTTTTCATTTGTGAAAAAATTTCTAAAATATTTTGACTGTTTTTGGCCTCATTTTCATCAATAATTTTCCATTGCGTCAAAATACTTGGAAAATGGAAATTGTATACATGATTCCCCATAAGTTGATATGATAGCAACATAGGCTATAACAGTAATTTTAGGTATCTGTGATCTGTGAATAAATATCGTTGGTTAGATGATAAGTTTTTAAATTTAATTTCTCGCTCTGATCATCGACGAGGCAAGACGATAGTGTGCCTGTCTCGAAATATAAATCTATGATACGTGACAATAGCAGAAATTTTCAATTTGAAAATATAATACCACATTTTAACTTCATATTGGTAATTGTAACAATTGTTGCAAATTTATATTATACTTTCAATTTTCCATTAATTTTGCATTTAAATACAGTACTTATACACATTTGTAAGCAGAAGTAACCCTACTGATATTTCAATTGTATTTTTTTTCACATTATAAAGGTATTTTATAACCTTTTGAAAATTTTGAGTTTTTTTTTATTATGTAACAACTTTTTTTTTAAATATTTTTGAATTTTTGAGTGCATAAAGATGTGCATATTTATCAATAATTTTTTAATAAAAATCCGGGCCTTAATGATGAGATCACACTGTGGTCTGTGATGGCTCCCGCATGAGCACTCGTCAGTCCGTAGCGGCGTAGCACGGTTATATACTAGAGTGGTCCGTACTCCGTAGGCATATAGCCTCCGCCGAAATGCCGAATACGACAATACGGTCCGCGAGTAGTGAGTACTGAGTAGTGGCCAGTGGGTGATCCGGTGGTGATGACTGACGAGTGATGTACTGACGTGTACTCATGTGGGAGTGGGACGATCACATCGTATGTTTAAACGTCGTATATGAATTTACATCTTCCAACTTCCTTACTAATTGTCTGTTGACAACAGTGGAAACTTGTTAAATATTTTTCAAAAAAAGTAATAATTATGCGGGCAACGGGGAGGCTTCAACCTGTTGCCCCCCCCCCCTTCAAAATTTATTTTTTCTTTCCAAATTTGAAATTAAAATGACATAATAAAATCTGTGGTTAAATCTGTGTATACAAAACATTTTCAGCTATGTACCTATATGGGCATATCGGAGTCAGCATTCGCCACTGAATTAACTGTAGACACTTGAATTTTACACAATAATATGTTTATTTAATAGTTTTCTATACTTGATAATTTTTTTTTAATATTTTGACTCGTTTTAAGTTGTTTACAGACATTTTCGAATTAAATTTTTAAGATTTTAAACAAGTTGTTATAATATAAATAACAATTATATTAATCTTTTATCTATGGTTGTTATGCACTTGTAAGACTGAGGTAACGCTTGGGTCCATAGATGACAATAATTAATATCGTATATTAAACAGTTTAATAATATATAATATCTATGCTTGGGTCCAAGTTTTTATCAGATAATACGAATATTTTTTTATCAGTAAACACCGGTTTAGAATATTACTGGTAATATCACTGATTAATATAATACAAACACGATTATAAAGATTAAAGAAGTTTTTTATAATCGTGAATACTGAATAGTTTGAATATAAATTAAGAATCACTAACACAGTGACACATTGAACCACAATATTTTGTACTTCATAATATTATTGTTAACCAATTTTCATCACTTTCTTCTGTTTATAAAGTATTTAAATTATTTGTAAATTATAATTACCTAGGTACTTGAAAAAATCTGGCAATTCAATTAAAAAACATCACAATGTGTGACAGTGATCACAAAAGATGGAGTCATTTGAAGAAGATCTTGGAACGTTCCAGTCCATTCTGTCATCCTGATTTTGAACCGGGCACAGGCATATTAGAATTTTTACAAAATTCCTGTAAACTGCTAGTGGTCGGCGCTGGTGGATTGGGCTGTGAATTACTCAAAGATCTCGCAATGATGGGATTTGGTGACGTCCATGTTATAGATATGGACACTATAGACTTGTCTAATCTGAACCGTCAGTTTTTATTCCGAAGGAAGGATGTAAACAGTTCCAAAGCAGAGGTTGCAGCAAAATTTATTAACGAACGTGTGCCTACATGCCGTGTTACACCTCATCATTGTAAAATACAAGACAAGAGCGAAGATTTTTACAGGAATTTTCATTTTGTAGTGTGTGGTCTTGATTCTGTTGTTGCTCGTCGATGGATCAATGGAATGCTTATATCTTTGTTATCATACGATGACAACCAGCAACTTGACAATTCCACCGTAATACCATTGATTGATGGTGGCACTGAAGGTTTCAAAGGAAATGTTCGTGTTATATTACCTGGAATTACTCCTTGTATTGATTGCACACTAGACTTATTTCCACCACAGGTAATATGTTTTATTATTTATTTTTACATAAGTTAGTTAAATTTATAGTTACAATAATGTGGTTTATTCAAAATATAATCATTAGTTTTTTAATTACTACGCTTATATGAACATAGTTAAGTTAATTTCTAAGTAAAATTTTTCTTAATGCAGACTGATTAGCATCTAAATATTTAATGATCCAGTTTTTTTTAGGATTTTTTTCTTAGTTCACAATTTAAGTCTTCTAATTCCTACTATATAGATTTTAATGAAGAGTTGAATATCAAAATTGTTCATAGACCTTAACAAATATTTCATATATTAATGTAAGATGTAGGTTCTATTTTTATTCATGTAACCAAATAAGATATTAATTAAAATGTGTTAATATTTAAAACATTTGAAATAAAAATAAAATTTTTGTAGTTCAAAATAAATATTAATGATAATACCTAGTCAATAAATTATCTTTGTGTACCGCACATATTACCAATTTCAACTACTTTTCCGCTGCATAAAATGTGTAGATACCATTCAACACTAAAAAAACCCCATTTATAGCGTAGACAGTAGATTCAGAGCTGGATAGGCCAGTCGAGGATTTGAGAGAATCTCGAAGGCAGCTAACATTTTTAGCTGGTGTAGGATGAAATGGCCGCAACGCCAAATTACAATTTTTATGACAACTATCCTATTATAGTAGACTATCAATAAATGTGATAGTCATTATTATTTATTAATATTAAAATTTGGCCAGTACCTATGGGGCCACCATAACAAATTATGGGCCTTTAGAAAAATATTTTTTAAAGTTGGCCGTGACTACTCAATCCGGCCACTGAGTAGAGTTAGCCTATAATATTATATTATATTACATATCATATACACCTAATACTAGTATAATACTACCATTGATTATGAATACTATACTCTGTTCCATCTAAGAGTGAACCGCTTTCGCGCATGCAGACTGAGCCGCCCAACAGTGCCTGACCCCCCATGCGAAGGCTATGCATTCTGTGATTGGCAGACAGTCATTGCCGGCCATTGTCAGTTGTCGGGCACCCGTGTTAATACTCTCACCGATCTCTGGATTGTGGTGGGAATGCGCTTAAAAACGTGTATTAGTCAGCTGAGTGGTTCACTCTTAGATGGAACAGAGTATATGGATCGCTCACTGGTCCGTATTTATGCGGCACAAAAAATTGACAAAATATGGATGTGGCCGTTGTGGAGCGCTGTCTTCATAAATAACTAATAATAGATAATAATCAATGATACTACTAAATGGTCTATTGGTAGGCTATTGTTGTGATATTCTGTCAAAAATATTAATTGGAATAACGATATTGGTAAAACATTGTCAATGATTCAGTTTTTTAATTGAAAATATAAAATATAAATATAACCATTAATCACTATAATATTATTAACTCTCATTAGTAACATACAAAATTCCAAAATTTGTTTCAACCATAGTATATTTCAAAATTTCAAATGCAATTAGTTTATGGACAAAAAAATGAATGATGATATTATTAAATATAAATCATTATCATTAATCTGAATACATTTATTTTATTCTTTGAATTCAAATCACACACTTTTAATCTATTTATAAAACTGCTAATAATTCTAATAATTGCAGAATAGACATATACTTTTTATTTACACAGTTACAAATGTCTTTTATGATTCTTAAAAAGAAAACCAGCCAGGTAATCCAGGACGGTTACCTTGTTTCTTCAAATAGTCTTTGTACATATCTTGGCTAACTTGACTTGATTTTTCATCTTCGGCGGTACGTTTTTTAAACTCTTCTGTAGTACATACATCAGGAAATTCAAATTCTTGATCTCTAGGCTACAAAATTAAAATCATATTAATAACAATAAATAAGAAAAAACTAACTATTTATAATCAAATTTTGTTTAAAAAAGGTTGCTTGCCATTGTAACAAATGCTCGTCGGAAGTCATCTTCTTTTACAATAGGGCCGTATTTGTTAAAAATTGCTCTTTTCATTTTACCTGTTACATATTTTATTGCAAACATATAAATATATTTAAGTATTTCCTATGATAATAAATATTTCATTAAGATTTTACCATTTTCAATACTGGATTCAACTTTAATAACTGTAATTTTATAAATTTTTTTTAAATAGTTCTCTATATCATAATTTGTCATTCCAGTGGGTACTATAAATTGAACCACATTTTTTGGTTGTTTTTCTTCTGGTCGTACTAATTTCATCCAAAAATTTGGCAAAAATATACGTAGTTGAGGATTGCCTCTCTGATAAATTGGATACCTATAACATTTTTTTAATATTAAATTGAATCTTTAATAAGCTATAGTTAAAGTAATAGATTGATTTATTTAATTGAACAGTAAGTTGTACTCTTATAATTATCAATTTACTTATTAAATCCAATGCATACTTACCATCTTGTAGACATAATATTGTTTTTAAATGCTCCTTTTAAAACAAAGAAAACTACTTTTCTAATTTTATTTAAAATTTAATAACTATAATAACAACTAATAAGGAATTATTATTTTCTAAACTTTTTAAGCATTAATCTACACCTAGTTTATATTTGATATAAGACTTTTATATTATAAAAAAAAAAATAGCATTTAGCATTTAAGCATAATATTGCATTCATATTTCATGCGTGTGATACTGTAGTGATAATATGATTTTTTTTTAACTGATACGGATACAAGTGGTTATCACTTATCAGTAATTCAGGCCGTGCTTTTGTTAATATTATGTAACCTCCTTGAGCAGTATTACTGTGTTACTAAATGCGGGAATTTTGAATTTCTTTATTTAATTTTAAAATATGCACAGAATTTAGTAAACATTGTTCAGAATAAACATAGACTTGTTAAAGTTTGGTTTATGATCAATTATATTGAAATTATTGAAATTATTCAATTATATTAAAGGATGTTTTCCTGGAATTAAAATTTAAATATAATTTAAACTATTCACAAATCACAATTATTTATCAATGGATAGAAATGTAAAAAAAAAAAAGCAATAATATTAATCATACATTTCAACATTTGTTTATAGGTGACTTATCCATTATGTACCATAGCAAGTACACCTCGTTTACCTGAACATTGTATAGAGTATGTGAAATTAATACAATGGCCGAAAGAAAACCCATTTGATTCCAACATTGATACAGACGATCCCGTTCACATTAGTTGGATTTATGAAAAATCCCTTGAACGCGCTGATGAATTTGGTAAGTATTTAAATATTAAATTAATTATGTCTAAGTAAGTAATAGATTATTAACCATATTGTATTTCTATGTACATTAGGAATAAATGGAGTTAATTATCGATTGGTTCAAGGTGTTATTAAAAATATAATACCAGCAGTAGCATCAACAAACGCCGTGATAGCTGCTGCTTGTGTTACTGAGGCTTTCAAAGTGGCCACCAGCTGTTGTCCATTATTAAACAATTATGCTGTATTCAATGATGCTGATGGTATATACACCTATACGTATGAAGCCGAGCGCAAATCTGATTGTATTACTTGTAGTCCATATAAAGCCAAATATCTCGATATAGATGACACAAATATACGGCTGGAAAAAATTATTGAAATACTTGGCGAACACCAGCAGTATCAGATGAAGAACCCTGCACTCACTATAGAATTAGATGGAAAAAGAAAAACCTTGTACATGCCAAACGTGCCTTCCATTGAACTAAAAACGAGGCCGAATCTAAAAATGACACTTGAACAATTGGGTATTGCTGACGGATGTAAATTATTAGTGGCTGATATCACAAACCCTAGAGCTTTTGAAATTATTCTTAAAATCAAGAACAACTGTGTTAGCATGGAATAATAATATACTTTTTTGAATATTTACTTTAATACTATTCTGCAATAAATATTTTAATACAATTACAAACATTAAACTTTTCATTATATTATGAATGTTTAACATCATTTAATATTAGTTAAATTGTATACTGTAAATCGAACAACCCAATTGTTTTTCAAATAATGTATTTTATTATTTTAAAACACAATTTATGTATTTGAGAGTAAATGAAAGTTATGTTCTATTTTTCATATGGTTGTTTTCCCACTATCAAAAAGATTATTTAATGACAAAAATAAACATTTTTCAATTTTATAATGCATTTGTATGTATGAAAATTCTAAAAAAACTTGTCATTACATTCATTCAATTTAAAATATTATGCAGTACCTACACAACATGATTATAAAGAACAGGTTATGCAACGCGGGCTGGATCGGCGGTCAGAACTCGTGACGCCGTAGTTCCATTAACTGCCGAGCGCTGCTAGTCAGACGTGTCAGATTTTCATTATTTCATATTATTATGTGTATAATCTATCACAGTTTGGGTACAATTTAACTTAAGTTACTTCCATTTTTTCATTAAAAGTTAAGTTAATTGATGTTTTGATAACTATGGTGCCAAGAAAATATCTCCCTAATCATTAGTTTCGAAGTTATAATCACTTGAAGTTCGCTATTTTCCGTATTTATGCACAACACTCTTATTTACCACGTCTTTTATGAATTTATATATTTTTTTTTAGTATTTTTTTTCACTTAAGTATTTTAATGAGTGTATGCATAAATGTGGATAATTCAGAACCTTAAGTGACAACATCTTAGAAACAGAAAACATTTTGCGACCATATTTTTTGCAACCAACATTTAAAAAATTACAATTTACTGAACTTTGAAAAAAAAAATGTTGCAAAAGCATAATAATATAATATGTTCTATCGCAGTGCAATTATACCATAGTTTGTATCAAATACTACATTATTTGTTTGTATTCTTATCTATTTTTATTTAAATAATATATTAGAAAAATAACAAATACCAATTAGGTACAGTGGAGGCAGGAACTATTTTTTCTATGAAGCAACTGCCTTAAATTAGTACCCACACACCAATTTTTCACATATTTTACACATTGTAAACGCAGGTCATACATGACTATGTGAGTATAAATTATAAATTAAGCCGGAGTCATTGTCTCATCGGCAAATTAGGTGAGTAAAACAGACTATAGTATAGATATATTAAATTGTTAAAAAATTTTTTGGTAGTCTTACATTTGTGACAGTGATTGGAACCAGTCGTGGATCTAGGATTTTTTTAAGAGGAGTGCTAAGGTAAGGTCTCATATTCTGTATACTCCCATCCTGATAGCAAGACTTTTTTAGTATTCAAATGAATGTGCGGAGCAAACTTTACCAACCCCCTGATGATTTTCAAATTTTTTTTTTCAAACTGCTTGGTTTTTTATGCTTAAAACAGTGGTGTAAATTTGTATTGCCACCTGTTGAATCCTAAACACATTCATGCTTTTACCGGAAACTATTGTTTTAGAAGTTATAGCCTTCCAAAGTTTGCGATTTTACGTTTATGCGCCTGCGCAGAATGCTACTTGACTGCCACGCTCAGTGCTATAACAAATTTTTTTTCTACGTTTTTTAACAAAAGTTGATCTTTTGGGCTAATATCTAGTCTAATTATGTACTCAACTAAATTGTTTATTATATTTCACCTTAATAATGATGTGATTCATAATATTATTCACCCAAAAAATGACTGTCCCACAAATTGTAAAAATACGTAAAAAAAAAATGAAAATTTGTTATAAGCGCTGCGCTTGGCAGTCAAGTATCGTTGCGCACAATCGCATTATAAACGTAAAATCACTACATTTAACATAAAAAAAAACGTGGGTAAATAGATGTCGCTCTGCTGTACAGTACGTTAGATACAAGTGGGTCACTGTATGGATGGTGTTAAAACTTAAATTTGAATTCAATGACATAATATCATTGTATAAGAAAAACGATTCTGAGCGAAAACAGTCAGTCAGCCTACTATGGTGATATTAATGTGACTAAAGTAATTTATATATACCTAACCTATTTACGTGGAACCTTGTTTTAAATTTTCAATCCTTGCAAGGATAGCCATGGCTATAAAAGTTGAAAATATTTGGAAAATGTTATGGTGTATAGAAAATTATAATATAAACACTCAGTTAAAATTACATGTACCTACGGTAATTTGTTTAAGAGTTGCACCAAAAACCAACTATTTTATTTTATGTAACCAGAGACAGCCCTAAACAAACAAAAAAAAATATTTGTTTTTTGTGGAAAACGGTTCAAATTTCTGTGTGAGCACTTAGCTCCTCTTAAAGATGCAAAATTAAAATAATCGAAATTACCCCTTTGGGGTGCTTATCCTGGGGTATAGGATTGCCTATGTAATAAATTTCAGAATAGTGCTTTAAACTTTGCTGTGGGTGTATTACACACTTGCACTAATATAAACATTGCCCATTATTTAAACATAATATGTAACTACAATAATTTCAGTAGCTTGTTTCGATGAAACTATTCTATTTTTTTTTCTGATTTTTTGCTTCAAAGTCATCGAATAAATTATAAAGATTTAAGTTTACTATCAACAATGTCTTGTCTAGTAATATTGTCGGGTTTTATATTAATTTTTTACTTTTTTTCTTTGGCATTGGCACCGATCAGCAGGGGCGAACGTTGGCTTTCGCGTCACACTACTTGCCCCTACCACCCTTACTGATGTCTGGATTTATCAATAAGTATTGCTGTCTGTGATTAGGGATTACTGTCTACTGATTACATTTATGTCATTTACTCATTTGATATTTCAATATTTGCAATATTGAATGTTGCGATTTTGATTTTTGAAGATTTCTATGAATACAGAGTGATCCATTTAACGTAAGACACTTATTATACGAAAAGTAAATGGTTAAACGATAAAGTGTCTTACGTTAAATGGATCATCCCGTATATAAATTGTACTAAGGTACTCAGATGTTTTGTTTCTTTAAATTAAATGTGTTTGAATTTTTTTGTAATACCTACCAATTACCTATATATTTATTATTCACATCAAATTGATAAAAATAAGCAAACGTATTTATATGTTCTAAAACCACCATTCATCTTTTAAAAACATTATTAATTGTTTGTCCAAGTTGAGTTTCGAACACATATTTCAATAATGTGGATGAAAATTTGAAATGTGGGTAAACTTCGCATGAGTCACGAGATGTATAGAACATTTTAGCTACATAATATGTATTATATATGTCTTATATTTTCCATTTACGTGATTTGATTTGAAATATTCGCATTAGCATTTAGCTGCATTTGGAGACTTGCATTTCAAGGATGAAATGTCCGCAGCTTAAAAAATCAATTGGTGCAGTGCCCAGTAAACGGGTGTGGATTCAAGGGGGTTGATGGGGCACCCCCCATATGGCCATATCCCTAAAAATAGTTTTGTTATCTTTATATTATATACCGTGTGGTTGTCAGTAATATTGTAGTCTAGGGGTTATTATTTCTAGGGTCGGGGATTATTTTTATTCCGCTATCTCTATGTTATAGTTCAGTGCATAGGTAGGTATATACTGTAAAATTATGTGTAATAATCCGATCAAATACAAAATAATTTATATCATACTGACATAAATTGTTTCATTAAAACGAATACAAGCATACAGCTTATGATATTTACCATATTTATCATAGGCAATATAAAAAAAAAGTTTAAATAAAAATTAAAAAAATTAAATAATTACATTTTTTTCCAAAAAAAAAAAATAAGAAATACAGTTTAATTTTTAAAGATTTGTTAATATTTTATGAAAGAATTGAAGAATTTATTTTGAGGGGGCTATTACAAGTATTTTTGGGGATAAGGCCCCCTTGTAGCGCTTATGCCAATGGGTAGGGGGCTTGAGTCCCCCCCAAAAAATATTTAGTCAATTTGCGCGCCTATGGGTTAGTGTATTATGGTTCTCATGCCTGTAGTTGATAATTATTAGTCTATATAAGGTATAACTATAACCATTGAGTAATGAGTATACCCGGTGATTCTTTTATCCAACACTCATTATTTCAAAAATTATAAATATAATTATAATTTTTTGGAAAATATTTTTTTACATAATTTCAAGTCGCTTATAAAACAACGTTTTTATTAAAAAATTTTATTTTTAAATATTCTTTATCCTCATAATTTTTAAGTTTTTTCTTTTTTTGAATGACAACATAGGGTTTTAATTTTATACCCCAAAGCGGAATATTTTTCTTAGTATTTCAATACACAAAAATCAAATTTGGAGTGAGTAGTATATGAGTTATAAATATTCAAAGTTTAAATATTCAATCATTTCGCGGGGTAGCCCCGTACCACTCCACTCCGCTCATCTAAACTTTAAATACTTATACGTAACTCATAAACTTCTCACCCAAATTCGATTTTCATGTATCGAAAAACTAAGAAAAATATTCTGATTTGGAATATGAAATTAAATCCCTATGTTGTCATACAAAAAAGAAAAAACTTAAAAAATTTTAAGGATAAAAAATATTTAAAAATATAATTTTTTAATGAAAACGTTGTTTTATAAGCGACTTGAAACTATGTAAAAAAATATTTTCAAAAAAATTTACACTTTTTGAAATATTGAGTGTTGTTTGATAAAATAATCACTTGGTATATCGTATATATATTATAATACTCAATGCTATAACCTAAGCTACATAAATTTAATGAATTTCCAATAGAAATTGTTAGACTTCATAATATTATGTTAAGCATGTGCATGTCTAATATTAGGTATATTGTATAAACACCAATTTAAGTCTTATTTATATCTAGACCAAATTGAACTTGGTATGGCACCAAGTTAATTTTAAAATTGTATACCTATGTAAACATTGATAAGACATTTTGAATATTTTATTACAATATCAATTGGTCGATACAATAAAATTAGAAACGACATAACGTTCCGCGTCGTTTGCAAAATATTAACGTAAATGCGTTCACGATTACGTTCTTTCAAACACTGCTGGAAATATATGAGTATATTCAAAGGTATTGACTTACCTAGTACCTATATGTACTATAGTAAATAATATAGTATTGTACATGGAAAAAATTGAAACAGATTTTTTTTGTTAACGGGATGACAATGGTGAGGAGTGAGGACTGAGGATTTAGTATATTATAGCGAGGATAATATTATATAAAAGTATCACTCGTCAAATTCATGTAATTTTATTTGTCTATACAACCATACAGGCACATATTTTTACATTAAAAATTATAATATTATGTAAACGAACCTACGGTATTGAGGGAGCTAAAAAAATAAATAGTCATATGATACAAAACAATTTACACGTATACATACAGTGTGTAATATAAATAACAATGCGTCCGTTTATACGACAATATAATATATAGTAGATGCTATACCTAAACGTACAAAAGGTAAAAATAAAACAATTTTACAATAAATATTATTATTAACTAGTACCACCTATTGTAGAGGGTAGACATTAGCAGCGGAATAATTAATCATCGTTATCGAGTAGATTCGTTGAAAAAAAAAATCACTAGAACAATACAAAAAAGGGACTAAGACCGGAAGCGTAAACATCCGGAGCGTCAGATATTCAATAGAAGCAATACGATAGGCGGGGTGACACCCAGACATTGGCGCGAATGGCTCAAACATTTTTTTAAAGTCTAAGTCTCTTAACAAAAGTCAAATTTGACACACTTTCGAAGAAATGTTGGTGGGTAGGGAGTTTGAGTTCGCCGGTAGCCACACGATTGTACTAAATGTGCAGCACATAAAATACACTATACAGCTAGGTATATAGTAACACAAATATACCTAAATATTTTATGCTACATTATACGATCTGTAATGTCCATATAATATTAGTATTGTACCAAACTATGCCACCCCGATACGTACGAGAAACACTTTGCCGTTAATAAATTATAAAATACTTATACGATTTAATATTATTATATACAATACACACAATAATATGTACAAAAATGAAAAAAAAAAAATCAATAATTTTTGGCATACGATTCGTTTGAAGACTGTTTTTGGGTTATACATCGTGTCGCGGACCGGAATGGTCGCACTAAACAGTGTTTAGTACACAACGTGCAATGGACAAAAAAAAAAATAAAAATAAAAACCTAAGTCCACGCACGAGTACGCGGTATGACTATATCTAATTTAGTATAATAATATCAATAATGTATGTGAAATAAATACTAATAATAAAATGACAAATCACAACAGTTAGAATAATATATATATAATATAATATATATTATGAAGTGCTCGCGATCGATCAGTGAGTGTCCATCCAACTGGCTGGTATTGCGTAGTCGGATATGGCGTACAGCATCCGCGGGTACCAGTGTATGCCGTCGGCTGGCTGTACCGCGTCGATCACCGGCGACAGTGACGGCGCGGCGTGCAGCGGATGGCCCAGCCGCCAGACGAGGCTGTACAGGGACGTCCGGACGGCGGCCAACGCGCGGACAGGCAGGAACGCCAGGTGCGCCAGCCACTGGCTGTCGATGACGGCGTAACACGACGCCACGACGTCGTCCACGACCACGGTGCCGTCGACCGTGAGTGGCGCGTAAAGTCCGATTTTCTCGGTGCGGCTGACTGCGACCACGCGCTCCGCGCGCAGTCGTAGCTGACCGCGGTCCCCGTTGATCACCGTCAGTAGCGTGTCGTTGACGCGCACCCTTTTCGCGTACACCGGGTTGGCGTATCGGATCTGCGACCGTTCCGGTTTCTCCCACCGGAGCACCAGGTGCGTGGGCGTCGCCGTTATCGACTTGCCCGTGTCCGTCACCAGCGTCACGTACTCTGTCCGCGCCGTCACGTTACGGTCCAGGAACAACAGCACTTCGCTAGGCCGGAGCAGACCGTCGTTGGACAGCGCCAGTACCGACTCGCCGACCCGCAGGTCCTTCATCTGCTTCTTCACTCCCGCGCCAGTCGTCACCACGCTGTCACCCGGAAAACAGCCCATCGTCCTCGTGTTGATTTTCGTCTCTGCAAAACACATAATAATTTATCGATTACTATACATCACTTGGATTAGGTTTGGGTACTTATAGGTATATTATATGTAGGTAGGAAGTATAAGTCACGGTTGTGTATTGTAGGTAATTATTCGTATCCCATACGCCGTCATTAAAGCCTCATAAATCGCGAGAAGTAACGTGCTAATAATTCTCAACCTAAAATATTGCGATGATCACGTATAAAAAGAGCGTTGGCGAGTTTAGCTCCAGTGCAATATACACACGCGATCTGTTTGAGCTTGGCGGTAATCGCGCGGTAAATTAGCGATTCAAACGAGTGAAAAATAACTGCTTATATATGTACATATACTGTTTGCCTTCCCGGTGCAGTATATTAATCGCTATATACACACACGCGCGGGAACGAGAAAAGATCGTAGCCACTGATTTGTCTGGTTTTTAAACGCCATTAAAAAACACTAATAATAAAAAAATAATAATAATAAATGATTTGGAGTGGTAGTGGTGGTGCTCTGTTTGTTTGTTTTTTTTTCTTAAACATCATCTCTGTTTCTCACTGCAGCCGTCGTGCGACCACGATAAATTAGTTAATGAGATAAAAAGGGCAATAATTCTTTTCCGTCCGTGCGGCGTGCACTCACTATTATATTATACATTTAATTATCTATATATATATATAATATTTATACCTCCATGTAGGTATGTACATTATAATATGTATACGCAACGACCACGACCATGTTCACCTTCCACGACGTATGGCCATCACACACCAACATCTGTGATCTAATCGCCCTCGGGACCCGCCGCTGTGGGTAAAGAAGTATACCGATACTAATAATAATAATAGTATTAGTAGTAATAATAGTAATAATATAGTATAACGATATTCATTTCTGAGTTTCCGAAAAACCGGATTGTCGCCGCGGCCCGTAAACACGGCGTTCGGTGTTGTAGTGGCTTGAAGAGGGACATTGAATATTATACGACATTAAATACGTGTTATTACAATATTATATTATTATACTGCGACGGATAGTTCACGGGTGCCCCGGGGGCCGGGGTAATAAACATAAAACGGACACTTGCAGCGCGACGAGAGGGACGAATTTATAAATTTTATACACACTGCAGCAACCGGGCGCGCGAGCTCACGCTTAATGATACGACGCTGTTGAGAGGAGGCATTTAAGTCTTATTTTTTACGAGTTTTCTCTTCTCCGACGTTCATATATAATATTAATAAAACGATACATTATCATATACATGTATAATATTATGCGTAAATAAGCGTAATACACTGTAACGGTATATAATACATTATTACCCACTGGCCACTATCATAAAATTTGACGTGCATAGAACAAAAAAAAATGGACTCATTTTAAAGTTTCCGTACTAGACATTTTTTCAGTCGCAATACTCTCAAACCTACTCAAACGTTTTTGCACGATTCGTATTTACAAGGCGAAAGTACATATATTATACAGGCACTGCCATATATACGGACGTGCAGCGTTTCTCGTCCGACGAGAGTATCGTATATTTTTTAAAATTTTATCAGATCAAGTAATTCAGAGGCTTCTCTATCCAGTACAAATTACAAACAGGCCACTACCACTTCTCACGTGGAATATAAAATATGAACTCATATGGGTCAGCTGACCTTCTGGACCCCTCGCTGTAGGTACATAATATATTATATAGGTCCGCCGCTCCCCGTTTTATAAACATGTACGATATACCTATACATAATGGGTAATAGGTATTATATAGGTCTTTGAAACCGATACGTTTTATACGAGATAATGTATATATAACCTCCTCCGATATATAGCGTGCAGTTGTGTACTCATATATTATAAGGTATGCCGACAATCGACATATTATATACGAAAGCGAAATTGTTTACGTCCTATATACTCTTATACCACCTAAGCCTATATTATAGGGCCTATCTGTATATAGAAGAAGGCGACGATACATATCACATTAAATAATTGTGACTGTATATAATTATATTATAGGTGCTACGTAACGCATTAGACGTTCTTGAATGTATTGAATTCCGGAATCAAATACCAATCGCTGTCTTATGAGAACTTCAAGTTACTATAATCCATAGTATTAGCTATATTATTGTGGTTATAAGACATGCATCAGTGGACGTATTAATAATATTTCTGCGAAACGATTACACATAGTATATGTACGTTTATTATAATATGTATACAGTATATCGGCGGTGACACTGACGTTTATATGGTCGTGTGAAAATATCGACAATTTCCCGTACATAATTTTCATAGATTACGAGTGTTCGAGAGTATACTGGAGTATATATAGGTAGGTATAATATTTACATATTTTATGTGTTATATAGAACGAGGGGGACGAGGGGGGTTACAATAATAGTTACAATACAACACATTGTATATTACACTAATGTTCAAACTTTTATAGGCACGTACCTAAACATGTACTATTTACTCTGCAGTATTAGCCATTAGGTATATACCGCTGTGGCACGGTCACCACTCAAGTATTTCAACTTTCCAGTGTTTACACTTTAAACAGAAATTCATTTTTTTCTAAAAATAGAAAAGCTGATATTCTATAATCCGAACGTTCTCTATTTCTTATGATGTATGATGCGCGTCGTGTCCTATCCTATGCTGCTGGCTGCAATTACGGCTTGCGAGAGATAATTAATGGTTTTTGTTTGTACTGTAGGTACTTAATACTGCTTTTCCCTTCAGACACGTTAAACGTACGAAAATATATTGAGTTCACTAGTGTACATAATATGACATAATACATATTATATTATATGCATATGAATATGAACCATGAACGTGTAGGTGTTATAATAGCTGTTTCAATACCTATACATATTACTGTAAAACTATAAATGTAATGTATAGTATATGGAATAAAGCATAAACAGTTGTTTGAGTTATCTTGAATAATACATATCATTAGTATAAAAGCAACCGCGGAGCTGATAAACGAATATGAATGATTATAATGAGTATTTACAAAATAAGTAATAATTTTTATTTGTTGTTTTTTCAGTTTGTCGGAGAATACTTAACAGATGAAACAATAAATTAACCACACACCTTGGCGTATAGTATTAGCGTGTATTACCATGTACCTAACTACATAATATAAATATATACCTACATTGTATATCTAATACGAGAGTTGTAGCAATAGTCATTATGAAGAGAAAATCCAATTTAAATATTTCGTTTGGAATTTTTGTCGAGATTATATAATATATTACTATGTATATACCTATTATTTTTTTTCTCTGTAAAATCGAAAATCGTGTAAATATTTATCTTTTGTATACGGTGATCGAAGCACGTGAAACATATAATAATAAAATATGTAATAATAATATTATACATATTATTATTATAATGGAAATGCACTGCAGTGCGGAATTCTGGAATATTATTAGGTAAACGAGTGAGCATGTGTGAGAGTGACCGAGCACGAGTGTGTGTATAGGTGTATAGTCCGATGCGGCGATGGAAATCCGCGAAAGGATGCATCAGATTGTTATTATATTATTATAATATTTATAAAGGGTAATATATAAGTGACGACAAACGGCGGGGAGGCGCGTATACATAAATAGGCTATATACATGTATTATAAGCTTACGAATGTACAATACGCGAAGGTATATGTATTGATGCCCATTCACAACGCTATTATTATGTATGTCGGTATATTATTATTATTATTATGTATAAAATGATGACATTGTGTATTTGTGTACGCGAGGTAGGCAGTCAGACTGCAGGTAGGTATATGAGGTAGGTTGGTATAGGTAGGTAGTTACCTATATCGTCGTTATAATAACGTACACAGCGGCCGGCGAATAATAATACATATATATATATAAATAAAAATACGCATATACAGAACACGGGTACACCGCTATGGTATATTATATAATATATATATAAATAATATATATGTAAGCGCATGTATGTATCGTACGTGCGGTAATAGTGCATGTGTTATTATTACACGCGTATACCTACGTATATATACCAGTTATACCTATTACCAACCATCTACCAGTGCATGTGTGTGTGTTATAGTATACGCTAGCTATGGGTAAACACGGGATAAGACGAAAAGGTTAATCGTATGCAATGCGTATATAACATTATACACATTATAATAGTACATACGTATATATATATATATTTATAGATAGTTGGTACCCGTACCTATATAGATAATATGTATATAGGTATATTATAATATACACTGCACACGCGTGTATATATACACGGTAGGTTTAACGAGTTGTGGGATTCTAGTTTTGGACAGGTCACGATCGCCTATTATTTGATGTTTGGAAAAAAATAAAGGATAAAAAAGAACAACAAATTATGCACCATCATCCCTTGTACGAGTTTGTTCGGAGTTTGCTTTACACTCACCGCACGAGTCGTGTTTACATAAACATACGCTTCTCTCGCGTCGCCGTCGTATATTATATTTATATAATAGCGCGAGTATACACACGCGCGGCGTGTACCTATATACGTATATATAAAATATATTATTATTATTTTATATAGGTACATAATAATATATACACTCGTATAAGTCGCGTACATATGCGTTTGTTGTTTGTTCTCCAGTAAAATAATAAGTGATGGGTGGGGTGTGGAGGAGGAGGAGGAGGAGGTTTTGGGAAAAAGTGATTTTGTTTTTGGTCTCCCCCGTATTAAGTTTTATATAGGTACACTACGCCGCCGTCACCGTGTCATACCAGACGGCCCCTGCACGGTCTTGTGGTCGAGTATGTGCGCTGTGTAATCGGATCTTGGCGTGACATACGAACGAAAGCCGGACACCGATCCGCATAGTTGTGGCTGAAGCAGATGAACACACGCACACACACACTCACTCAGGACTACAGGAGGGATACTTTATGTACAGAATATATTATATAAAGCGTATACCTAGTCGTAGTTTTAATAGCAAT